CTGATAATTGATGAATAAAAATGTGGTAAGAAATTTGTGAAGACTGTAGCTGCTTTATTATTAATAATAATTTCATCTTCTCTTCATTAGAGATATGTATAACCGTAAACTATCCTAGCAAGCTGCAGCATATCGTGATCTGAGTGCAAATATGTACTTTGTTCTTCGTTATATATATGATGGTGATGGATGTAAGAATTGGATGGGTCAAACAAGGTAGAAGTACATTTCAGATGGAGCCTGTTATCTAGCACTGTTTTTAGGCTAATACCTTCTGCACAAACTATGGTAACAAAACAGGACTAAATGAACCAGCCAATGGGTTTAGTGGTTCATCACCAAGCCTAAAAATTTGGATTTAATTAGTTAGAAGTTCGACTTCTACCAATTATTGAAAAAATCCCCTCCTTCCCCCAAATTCCCGATGTTTTTTTTTTTATAAAAAAAAGGGACTAAATCTGCAAAGAATCAACTTCTCAATCACTGCACAATATTTCTAAGCCCCATTTAGAAGCAATTCTTAATTCTCAATGATTTTTCTAACATCTGCCTGAATTATTGCAAGCATGGTAGATTCAGATCCGAAAGGAAGCATTGATACATATAAACTAAGAGGAAGGACGGGGAAGTAAATTTAAATTATGTGGTAATTGCCAGGTTAAGCATAGATTTGATTTTATTACCCTTTGCATTTTATTTTTTTAATTTTATCTACTGTTATAGTGTTATGCATTTTCTCATAAGTCCAACTGATGAAGTTATTTAGTTCATTGTTATTTGAAATTCAGGGGTTTGAAATGAGATTACCTTCAAAGCATTCAAAACAAGTAAGAGGAAATGACATTAGTATGGAGCTCCAAAAATAAAGAACTAATTAATGGTTTGTAATATTTTCAATGATTTTTGTTTTGATTTGATAGGCACAATTTTCCTTAACGTCTGCAGATCAAGTGATTTGCTTCACAACCCTTCTGGCTTCTCAGCAAGATGTGCCTACTTCTTTAGTCTCAATGTAAAGAGTTGAACTGCTTGTACTTCCATCTCAATAAATATCTTTCATTGCTGATAAAAGAAAATTACATGAACTAGGTGGAGAACTATATATAATTTAAGTCTTCAAACAATTGGATAATATTAGCAGCTAACTATGACTGGGTTTGGATTGTGTAGAAGTGAGGGTCACATTAGAGTAAGCTTGGAGGGATTAAATAAATAAATAGAATTAAATTATCAAACTTCAAAAATTTCTTTGTGAAGATACGTACTTACCTTGACCAAAAGCAATGCCACCCTTTATTTATTCTCTCACAAACGTAAAGCCTTCTATTAATTAAGGCTTCATTTGGAAATGTTCCACAGTTGCTTTAACTTTTCTTCATTTTTTCTTTTATCTTAAAAATATAAAATATTAATCAAAATAAATATTAAATATATTAAATGAGTTAATTATTATCTACCTACATATAAATTTTATACGTTATACTTATATACAATCTTGATATTTATTTTTCTACTTTTAATTATTAAAATTTATTGAATTTTTGTTTTATTTATTAAATATAATTATTTTTTAATTTAAAAAATCATGATAAATTTCATGACTTTTTATAGTATTAAAAGATTAAATATATTAAAAGATTAAAAAAAACCTACAACTATAGTTGTAAGGTAGCACTCAAACTAAATCTAAGTACTTCCTCTTTTCAGTAATCCTCTGTTTTTTTTTCTTTTTTATCATTTAAATCTTATACCTTACTTCCTCTTTATAAAAGAATGATGCTACCGGCCGGAACACTCTTTTTGACAAATTCTTTGCGTCTTCTTGCCCGTTTTAAAATTCTTTCTTCATCATATATGGCTTTACTCTTCCGCCAAAAAGATGAGGAAATTAATTCTGCTTGTTAATTTGCTTTTGCCTTCAGTTATTCTGGGATTCGTTTCTTTGTCCAGGAGTAAGACATCTTTTCTTCATCTATATATACATTTACAATTTCATATCAACATCTTTTCATCAACAAAGTGAGCAATAATACATTCAATAGAGGAAAGATATAAAAGGTCATCAGATAGAGGCAAAACCTGAAGGTATAAATCTTTCCTATAATTTTTTTTTTTATGCTATAATTACGCTCTCTTCAAGGTGAAGAAGTAAAATTAAATCTTATAGGCCAATCCTCTACTTGCTCTGTGGAAAAGGACTTTCTAAAAATTAGTGTTATGATAACTTGTTAATATACGTTTTTATTTCTCATATTCATACATCAATTCGTCATTTTACTGATTGTAAATGCAAAAGAAATGTAAACTGAAGACGAACATATGATCTACCCGGAAAACCCCAAAGAGAAAAATATCATGCACAAAGAGAGTGCTTTCACAATACCAAAACTGAGTACAATGACATTAACCCCTTACAATCTTTTTAGGGTTAGTATTTATATATTATTGAATTTCCTATCTTTACTTAGACTTAAAAATTTAACTATTACTTAAACCGGGCCTTTAGGCCCAATGGTTCGACTCCAAGCTTTAGTGCTTGGGTGAGGCGGTGGTCAGAGTTTCGAGCTCTACCACCGTCGTGCATCTCATTTGAGGGGGTGGAATGTTCACCCGATCTGAGAAATCCCAGTTGCTAACATCTAACTCATACTAACTTCTTAACCATTACCTTGTCAAAAATAAAAAAATAAAAAAACTTAACTATTACTTGTTATATAAATAAAATCCCATCTTCATTAACTTGGGCCTTGAACTAAAATTTGGCCTATACTCTAAATAGGGGGTTATTGGGCCAACTTATTGGGTTTAAATTACCATCCTCCTACTTAACTATTTTTCAAAAGTCAGTTTTTGTTAAGGAAAGTGAGCCCATCTCTTTTCATATAATTTTCTATTTTCATTTATTTTATGATTTATATTTTTTTTTTTCCTCTTGGTCTCAACTGTTTCAGGACCAAAGATCTGCAATTAATAATAGCGTCTGGTTCTTCATTCTTAGTCTTATTAACAATTGTCAAACCAGGTATGTTACTTTATTAAATGTATACTACTTAATTAGTGGTTTGTGCCTCGGGATTTTGTTATAAATTTATAATCATTAATTTTTTTTTTTGTTCTTTAAAATTTTGAACAATTAGAGCATTCTTACTTAGAAGAAAAATTGTGCTAATATCATTTTAGTTGGGTAGTAATTTTGCAAATAGGGAAATTCTTTTTGAATTAAGACCATGAACATTTAATTGTACTTTCATTTTGTTGTCTATGGATTAAGTTCATAAACATTTAATTGCACTTAAATTATTTTTCTTTTATTTTTTTTTCTCACTTTTTCTTTTTAAAGTTATGTTAATGCATTTATTTAACAAAAAAAAAAGCGTACAAAATTTATTCTTAAATTCAAGTAATTTTTTATTATATATATTTTTTATATTTACCCATATAATAGTTGGAGGAAAATTTAATATTGAGAATAAAAAAAAGGAAAAAGATAATCACTAATGGAGATTGACTTTAGATGAAGTGAGATAACAATTTGAAATTAATATTTAAAATAAATTTGGTGAGATAACAATTTGAAATTGAATTTAGGAGAAAAAAATTGAAATTGAAGAGGATATTATAATGAGATTAATTTTAAATTTAAATTAAAAATTTGATAATAAAAAAGGATAATCACTATTGGAGATTGATTTTAGATTTGGTGAGATAGCAATTTGAAATTGGAATTAAAAATAGATTTGATGAGATAACAATTTGAAATTGAATGTAGCATAGAAAAAATTGAAATCAAATAGCATGTTACAATGAAATTAATTGCAAAATTAAATAATGAATTTGATAAAAGGAATTTTGATTTTTAAATAAATAGTACAATTTAAAAGAGCTTTTTATTATAAGATTCAAATTAGATTTAGGTAAGATTTTAAGTTGGATTTATCTTGAAATTTAATTTTAAAGAAAAGATTAAAATTAATTGGTGAATAAAGGAGTTATCTAAACAACAATAAAATTTCATTACCTTTACACTCATTTTTCAATCTTTAGGCCTTAATGCATTTAAGTCTTAATTGCGGCACAATTTAATAAATAGTATTGATTAGTTCATGAAAATAGGACAAAAAAAAAGTAGAAAAGTGTTTTTACAAGAAAATAGTCTGAGTAAAAACTAAAAGATGTTTGTCTTTTAATTAAATTAACAAAATTAAACAATGAAATCCCTTAAGAAATCAAAATAAAATAATTAGTCAAACTCAACTGTCAAAATTTTCCATAATCATGTTAAAAGTTTAGTTATGCCTTGATGTAATTCTTTTTTTCTTTTATTTAAAAAAAGATAAAAAAGGGGAAAAGAATCTTAATCCTACTTCTTACGATCCCTATTTATATTAAGATTAAAGTATGATTGTTTGGTAATAGGGATTAACAACCTTTGAGAGAATTAATTTTTTTTCTTTAGTGTGCACTCTAATGGAAACATGGAGGTAGGGTGCGACACCTCTCTTGTGTCTAGCCCTTATACAATTTTAGTAGTTGAGAGTTGAAACCTAGAGACAGGATGTGACACCTCTTTTGTGTTTAACCCTCTAGTGCATTTTGATGATCAAAGATTGAAGCCTAGTGATAGGTTCCAACACCTTATTTCCACTTAAGACATTTTTCTTTCTATTTTTCCCATTTAATCATTAAAGCTTGAAGCAACAAAAGTTGAAAAAATTAATAGAATATGCAATTATAAAATTATTTATAAAAAAATCTACTATTAAATCTATAATTTCACAAATGTCAATTGTTGAGAACACTTTAAGTATACATTTTCATGCTTTTATCAACCTATTGCTCAAAAGCCTTTCTCAATGAAGGAATCTCACCTTTTTGATACTCAATGAGAGTGGAAGCGTTCTTACTCATCACCTTAAAAGGGTTGGTTTAAACCACACCACACATCTAATTTTGTTAAGATCACATTCATAATAGATTATAAATATTGGAGTTTGGTTTGGAATAGAGCAAAATCTCATATCAATTTGAAATTACCTAAAATAATTCTCATATAAAGATTGATATTCAAGTTGGAATCTAATTTGGCAACCAAATCTCACAAGACTTCCAATTCTTCATGAAATTTCAAAACATAATCCCAACAATTTGTATGTTGATCTTAACATTTTTTTTATCAAAAAAAATTTATTAAGGGAGTACAAAGGTATTATTTCAACCATTTACACCTTTTTACAAGTTTAGGAATTCTAAAATTTAAATGATGTCAAATTTAATTTTGGAGATTAAGTGATATGAAATTCAAGAGCTTAAAAGTTACAACATTAAAAATTTGAGTGCTTAGTCATTCACTTACTCTCTTTTTTTTTTCTTTCTTTTTTTTTCTAAATTGAAAACAAGTGATTCATTTACAATTAAATTATTTTATCATTCAAAATTTTGAAAATTCTAGTTTATAAGTATAAACTAAAAATTCAAAGGACAATGAATAAAAATTAAGTAATTACCCATTACCCAAAAGGCTAAGAATAAGGGTAAGGTATACTTTTACTAAGGGCATATTTGGGTGAGCTTCTAGAAGCTTCAGCTTTTTGATACTATTCATGTTTCATAAGTTTAAATTTTCCTCTTAAAAACTTACATTTTTGAATTTTTTTTTTTAACCTTAAAAAGATCTTAAACAATAAAAGTTCAAAAGTTTTAAATCCAAACTTTTCATAAATTCATTTTTTACTCACTTTTCACTCACTTTTTCCTATCTCTAAAAGTAACTTTTATATTTTTTCTCTAATAAAAATTTAAATTTATCACTCATAACAGTACTCAAAAAGCAAAAGGTCTCACAAGTTAAATCAAACATGCCTTAAAAGGATATTGGCCAGGTAAGAGTAAAATATTATTTGAAGGGCATGGGTGAGAATATTACAATCCGGCTCTTAGTCTTCCCATTGTCATTTCGAATATGATAAGATGCACGTACCCACTAGAATACGTTCTAATAGTTTAAATCTTGGGTTTTTATGTTTGAGGTATTGAGTATAAATCTTAAGATATGGTGGATAGGGGTTGGGAAAGGGTGGATTATTGTCTATAATATAACGCATCATTTGACAAAAAAAAAAAAAAGGAACCTCAAGTTTAAATTTTAAGAATAAATATTGTAACTCAAAGTGATGCATGAATTCTCTAAATTTTGAAATAATTGACTGAAAATTGTGTGACGCTTGTATAATGTAAGTTATCCACACTCATTTTATTTAGGTCTTTGAATACACGCAACAGTATTTGCCATCTTTTCCCTGCTCATGTTGTTTTTTTTTTTTTTTTTTTTTTTTTGGGTAAAAGCTTCTAAATTGATGAATACAATGGTCAATATTCTATAAAAAAAATTAATCATTGCATTAATTTATTAGCTCAATTTTGTCCAATCAACTACACTGCTTTATCATTTTATTTACTCATTTTTGGTGTATATTATCTTCTTTTTTCTTTTCAGTTGCAATCAAACTTGTAGAAGTAGAAAGAAGAAGTTCAAATCAAGTCACTCAACTATATCTTCCTTCAAAAATATCTTCTTAATCAGGTAACTTTCTACAAATTAATTCAATTATTTTCCCCTATTTAAGAGTTTTTCTATTTAGACTGTATATTGATGAAAAAGAAAACTCAAATGTATACATGACAAACAAATAACTGAATGCAAATTAAATTATGTGATAAGCTAAGTGACGAAAAGAGCTAGTGACAATTTTCCCTCCACTTTTTAGCCTTACTTTTGCATCCTATTAACCTATAGTTATTCATATCTTGGGTTGTTTTTGAAGTTGTTGTATACATTCTACTACACACGGTGTTTCATTTTATAGGGTCTTCTTCAATGGAGTTTATACTAGAGCCTATCATGGAATTCGTAAAGTGTTTGGGGAGGTCATCCTGTACTTATCTAGATTATCACTTAAACTTTGATGAAGCTGTGAGTAATTTGAGAAGAGAATGGGGAGCTCTGAATAGTCGAAAAGATGATATAAATTTACAAGTACAAACTGACGTCCTTCCTTTGGGGAAAGAAGTGAAACATGAAGTACAAAGTTGGCTTGATCATGTGCAAGAAATCAATAATGAAGTGCAAGCTATTCAAGGAAAGATTCAGAAAGTGAAGTGGTACTCACGGGGCCGTGTTGGAAGACTTGTTTGCAAGAAAATTGAGGTGGTGAAAAACATCCAGGAACAAGGTAGTTTTCCTAATGGTCTCGTAGTTGATAAACCTCCCCCTGGAATTATCATGCCAATTGAGAAAGTAGTGGGTGAAACTTTTGCAAAAGAAAAAATTTGGGGATACTTGATGGGAAATGAGGTTGGAATGATTGGGGTTTGTGGGATTGGTGGGGTTGGAAAGACAACCATTATGAAAAATATCAATAATGAATTGGTGAGGCACACTAAGTTTGATAAAGTGATTTGGGTCACTGTATCTTACCCACTTGATGTAACCAAATTACAAGAAAACATCGCTCATGCTTTTGCTGTGGAACTCCCAAAAGGCGAGGACAAAGAGAGGTGGGCGGCTGAATTGATGAGCATTATGGGAAGAGTAAGACATTTGTTGATACTAGATGATGTCTGGGAAAAATTTTCTTTGAATGAAGTTGGAATTCCAAAACCAACAATTGAGAGTGGAAGCAAAATAGTTATCACTAGTAGATTGATTGATGTGTGCCAAAACATGGGCTGTGAGATAGTCAAAGTGGAACCTCTTTCCTTTCAGGAGTCTCTTAACTTATTCTTAGATAAAGTTGGGAGTCATACTATAGAAGTTCCAAACTTAGAAAGAATCTTGAAGCTCATTGTCCAGGAGTGTGGTGGCTTACCGCTAGCCATTGTTGTGATAGCAGAGAGTATGAAGGGAGAAGAAGATGTGAAAGTGTGGAATAATGCCCTAACTGAATTGCGGGAACGGGTAAAGAGTGTGACTGGTTCAGATCAAGAGATATTTAAGAGGTTAAGGTTTAGTTATGATCGTTTGAATAATTCTGAAATCCAAAATTGTTTTCTTTATTGCTCCTTGTTTCCCGAAGATTATCCATTTTTGAGAAAAGAGTTGATAGAAGGGTGGATTGATGAAGGACTAATTGATGTGTTGCCTAGAAGAAAAGCAGCTTATGAGAGAGGCCAGGCTTTTTTAAATAAGCTAGTAAAGAATTGCTTGTTAGAGAAAACTGTTAATTGGGGTCGTGATGTTTTCAAGATGCATGATGTACTGAGAGACATGGCTATCAAAAGCATCGGTCCTGAATTTGGATATATGGTAAAAGCTGGTATGAAATTGACAGAGGTACTAGATAAGAGTGGATGGGGAAATGATCTTAAGAAGGTGTCTCTAATGAAGAATAACATATCAAAAATTCCCCTTGGGTTGTGCCCAAAGTGTCCAACTCTTTCAACTTTGATATTGTCAAATAATCGAAGTTTGTTAGAGATCCCAGAATCCTTCTTTGAAGGTATGCCTGAACTGAAGGTTCTTGATCTTTCTGAAACTGGCATTGAAGCTTTACCTAATTCCATCTCAAACTTGGAGAAGCTCTCTTCCATGAGGTTAAGGGGGTGTTGGAGGTTAAGATATATGCCTTCTTTAGCAAAGCTTATAGCATTAAAGAAATTAGATCTGAATGATTCCAGGATTGAGGTGGTCCCTCAAGGCATGGAGAAATTGATTAGTCTCGAATATCTTGATTTAAGTGGATGTAGATATCTAAAAGAGATTCCAATGGGAATGTTATCAAACCTTTCCAATCTCCAATACTTGTCAGTTTATGAAGGATTGAAGATAAAAGGAGAAGAGGTTGCGAGAATGAGCAAGTTGGAGACCTTTGAAGGTATATTCAATGACATACAAAGCTACAATTATTTTGTCAAGTCTCAAGATTTCCAAATTCTTACTGATTACCATATGGAAGTAGGAAAAAGACTCAAAGGATCGCCGACTACTCCAGGGGAATCTGTGGTTAGTATTATTGATTGTGACTTAGGAGAAGAATGTATAGTGCTTCCAGATAACCTTAGCAGTTTAATGATCTGGGGGTGTGAAAACATGAGAAGCAGCTTAAATAAAGCAGCTTTGTTAGAAAAGGCAACCGAGTTGAGATCCTGTTTTATTAGGCTTTGTGAAGATATGGAGTGTGTGGTTGACTTGAACTCATCCTCCTATCCAGTACTGGATAAGCTTGAAGAGCTGTATCTTGAGAAATTGCCTAAATTGAGTGTGCTTGTGAGAGTGGAAGGAGTAGCAACACCACCGCACGTCTTTTCCAATCTTAAAAGGCTTTATATTAGCTGGTGTTTCGAAATCAGGAAGTTGCTTCCACTTGAGCTGCTGCAGGCCTTCCAAAACTTAGAGGAGATTCATGTTTTTGAGTGCACACAAATGGAGGAGATAATAACATCATCAGATTCAGATGCATCATCGGATAAATTCACTTTTCCCAAGTTAAGGATATTACACTTGTGGGATTTACCCCAATTGAAGAGCATCTGCAGTGCCAAAGGAGTTATGGTTTGTGATTCTATTGAAGAAATTTGGATACAGGGATGTCGGGAGTTAAAGAGGATCCCTGTGCAGCTTCCCCTGCTTGATAATGGCCAACCATCTCATCTCAGAGAAATCAAGATAGATGAAGAGTCAAAAGAATGGTGGGAATCAGTGGAGTGGGATCATAAGAACCTACTTCACCCTTTCTTGAAATATTCGTCGCAGTGATAATTGAGGTAAGGTGTTGATTGATTAAGTTTTCCATTTCTAATTTTAAGAATGTTGATTTTATTTATTTATTTTATTTATTTTCCAATTCCTCTTCTATCATTTGCAATCCAGAGTATGAATTGAGTGAAATAAACGATCATGATCCAGAGTACGAAATCGTCAAGTTAAATTTCTAGGTTTATTCAACATTCCTTCCAGTTCATGGTAGCGGACGGCTAGGATGAGCGGCAACATTACGTTTGTGTGTTTGTGATATGTTCAAGTAAGTCACGTGCGACCCCGATAGCACGTGTCAGTAAAACCCTTCTTTTCTCCTTTTCTCCTCCCTTCCAGTCCTGTTATTCTGATTGTGAAACTGGATGAAAGAGATCTAGTTCTCTGCTTCTCCAATTTCATCTGAGATTCTCAAATATGGAATCAAATCTCTTTTATCTATGTATGAATTATTATGATTTTAACTCTTTAACTCCTTTTTTATATTTCTTTTCGATTTTGCTGGTCTTTGTTTGTTTATGGATTTCTTATTTTCTTAAATGGGTTCCTTCTGGGTATGGTTATTTTTTTTAGAGAATTCGGTAGTTGGTTCTAATAAATTTATTGAGTTGTTTAATTTGTGATAATCAGCAATTAGAATATTTAAGTTAACTTTTTTTTTTTTTTGTCTGAGTTGGGATTTCAATTTCGGTATTGCAGGTGCCAATTTTGGCAGAATCTATCGGCAATTGGCAGGAAGAGTCCCAGGCTCGGGTCTCCGATGAACTTGAAGTAGTCCTAAGTAATATCATTTCTGATTTTGGCAGAGACTTTGGTGTCATAAACTACCAAGTAGTGAGTATTGATTCTGCTATGTTTATTTTCTATCTGTATCTGTATTCTGATCCTAAATTACCCTTCAAAATTAATATTTTCTACCAAGTAGTGAGTATTTATATAACCAGTCTTCCAGGTGCATAGATCTTTCAAATTTAATCATTTCATTGTCTGATTCTGCTTATTATTGATTCAATTTTTTATTATCATTGATTTCTGGTTATTTACCACATTCTATTGTGCACTGGATGGTGGAGGTGTGCCACACAATTTCTGTGTTTTAATGAGAAATCCAAACTCCAAAGTAGGCTATTTGCTTCCAGATTTCCACCTTCCTTTGCTAGGATGCAGTTTGAAACAGCTTTGTAAATAACCTCCCTTATGAATATACAAGAGATTTCAGAGACAAAAAGAGTAATAGTATCATATTTTTGTTCACATTTTTGAGAATTTGGTACTTGGTTCTACCTCTATCATAGAGTGGCAAAATCTTTGCTAGTGGTTTTGCATTGGAGCTTCCCACCTTCATCCCCAATTTCTGCAGTTATGATGATGGAACTCCTGTAAACATTGCAGCTGCTCAACCAAAAGCTATTGGAATCTCAGGACCTTCTAAGAATAATTACACTCAAAGCAATGTGGTTTCACCATTCTACAAAATAGGGTCGGCTCAATCAAGCTCAAAGCCATCGTCCATTCAAGGATGGCATGCAACCATGAAGGATGCTGTGAGTAAAGAATTAAATCTTTTGTGCCCTCAAAGAGCTTAAGTATCTGGATGCTTTTGTTTTCAAAAATATTTGCATCTTTAATTTTCTCTAGTAGAGATATGTTATAATGAGTAGTATTATTTGCTGTCGTAGCATGCTTCATATCCTGATCTGGGTGCAGCTACTTTCTTCTTTGGTGTATGTGATGGTGCGTTAGGTAAGAATTGGATGCCTCAAATAAGGTAGCCTAACCGAGATAATGTAAAGATTAGATGGCTTAAGTGTTCAGTCCCTAACATTTGACTGAATAATTACAAGCAGGGCAGATTCTGATTGGAAGCAGTAATACATAAAAATCGAGAGGAAGGACTGGGAATTTTCAATTGATTTGGTTTCCAGGTGAAGCATAGATTTGATTTTGTTACCCTTCCCAAATTTTCGTGTACTGTTGTGATTTTCTTAGAAGCCCAACTGAAGTTATTTTGTTGCTTGTCATTAGAAATTCAGGGTTTCGAAATGAGGTTACCTTCAAAGTGTTTAAAATGAGCAAAGATGTAATGATGCTGGTAGTGATTCTGAAAATGAACAACTGATGATGGTTTGTAAACTTTTCATTGATTTTTGTTTTGATTTGATCAATATCATTTTCCTAGTTGTTTCATTTGATTGGGGATTTATGATGTAGGTATGACGAAATGGGGAAGAGGAAGATGCAAGTCTTGTAGAGGTGCATGTTTTGTTAGTTCACTCAAATCCCACGCTTGACCACCTTTAATTTCTAAGTTTTTTGGGTTAATGATTTTTAACATGTGTGCAACATTTGCAAAATGCAGGCATATGGACGCATGTGTTCTTCATCAAATGGACACTTAGGTCCTGAGTGCAGACAATAATTCTGTTGAGGAAGCAAAACCTCTGCTTCTGAAAATAAGGTGAGTTACCATGTCTTGAATTCTTGTCAATTGATTAAATTAGTTCTAGATTCTGTTTTCTAGCTTTAGTTGTATGAGTTAGGTGGACCTGGTTCTTTTATGTCATTTTCAAAACTATGAGAAGAGGAACTCCATTTATAAATCTCAA